AATATTATATTTATATGTGAATTACTCCAAAATAAATAATTTTAGTAATTATAAATATATACATATTTAATAGTGTTTTTTTTTTATACTTTTAGACGATTTAAAGTTTTTTAAAGTAAAACATTTCTAGTTTTTTTTAAGTTTATTAATAATTTAAATTAAGTTATTTATTTATTTTAAATTAGAATAAAAATAATTTAAATATACAAATACTTAAGACTATTAATTAAATAATTATTTAAATAAATTAAATATATAATATTTTAATTTTTAAAATAATTATATTTTTAATAAGTTTTAATAAGCTCACTAATATATATTTTATTTTAAATAAAAAAATAAATTTAATCGTTAAAATATTTTTAAATAATTTTTATTTTTTAAATAAAATAAAAATAATATATATATATATATATATAAAAAAAATGTCAAATCAAATCAAAAACACAGTTCAAAATTCCACAAATACTAGTGAATAAAACAATAATTTATCATATTAATAAATGATGTAACATTTAAACCAAAATCTAAAATCAAATATGAGTTAATAAAACCTAAAAACGAATATGAGTTAATAAAATAATATATATTTTCGAAATAATTTAACTAATTTTTAGAAATTTAACAATTGGACTTAAAACTACAAAATAAAAAATATTAATATATTATAAAATTCAAAATCTTAATAAATTATATAAAATAAAAGCAAATCTCAGAAAAGTAATAATAGATAGGAGAGTTGTTGGTTTTAAAATAATAAAAATGATAATACTGCAAATTCTTAAATTAATATAAAAATTAATAATGGTATAAAGAATAATATAGAGAATGATAGTAAGTTTTTTTAATTGAAAAATTATTTAAATTTCGTTTAAAATAATATTAATAATAATACTGATAGAAGTTTAAATAAAAAATAATAAAATATTTAATAATAATAAAAAAAAAAACTAAAAAATAATAATAATAATTCATAAATAGGAAGAAGAAAAAAAAAAAAGAACTAAGTTGATTGTATTTAAGAACTTGAAAATGAAGTTTTTTTATTATAAAAATATTTATAAGAAATATAGAATATTGATTTAAATTAATAAGTTTCAGATTTAAAGTTAAAATATTAAAAACTTGTTGATTTATACTTTAATATGGTTAAATATTAAAATAAAATTGATAATTAGAATTAGTTTTATATAAATACAATTAATTAAATTATTATTAATAATAATTTATAATAATAGAGTAGTATTTAAAAAGCTTTAAAGTGTTAATGATTTTTTAATTAGACATTAATTTTATATATGGAAATAACTTTTTTATGTTTTTTGTAAATATTTTTATTTTTCTTATTTTAATATATGAAACAAAACAAAAAATATGTATTTTTTAAAAAATTTTATATAAAAAATAATTTTTTATAGTATAAAAATATATATTATATCTTTTTTATTTTTTTTTTTTAAAAAAAAAAAAATAGCTTGATTAAGTTTTTTTTTTTATTATTTTTATTTTTGGTACATTTATTTATTTATAAAAAAAAAAGAATTATTATAATTTTTAGTTAAAAAATGAATTTTTTTACTACATAAGATTAAAATTCGGAATAATAAAATTTAGAATAACAACAAAATTATTCGGAATAATAAAAACAAAACGAAAATAATCCTATTATAATTAAAAAATTAACAAAAGTAGTCTCATGTTAAATAGATACTTCAGTAGTTGCAAATCCAGATTCCAAAAAGACTGGAAAAGTGGTACAGACGCATTAAAAGATCTGTTTGCTGCAAAAGACGAGGAAATATAATACTGGCGATAAATGTGTGAATAATAAGAATATACAATAACTGAATAATTGGAATTATTTTCAGATGAAAAGAAAGAATTCGGTTAAGAAATGGAATAATTAAAAAATTAAATAAAAGAAAAAGATAAAGAAATCGAAGATTTAAAAAAAAAGTTAATTTATAAATTTATATATATATATATATATATATATATATATATATATATATTTATATATATTTTTTTTTTGGAAAATTAGTATAAATAATTAGGATGAATAAATATAAATAATTCATAAAAAATTAGAAGAATCTAATAATAAAGAATAGGCTTTAAATTATTAATATTAATAATTAAAATAATAATTATAGGAAGTATTAAATCAAAACGAAAATGAAAAAAATAAAAATTAAAAATAATCTATTGAAATTAATGACTGGAAATAAAAAGCTGATTAACTTACAAATGAAATAAATTAAATGAATAATATTATTAATAGTAGGGATAAATAAATTAGCTTATATTAAAAATAAAATTAGTATGATATAGATATACTTAGAGAAAAAAATAAACTATTAAATACTGAAATTGATAGATTAAATACAATTATTGATGAATTAAATAATGAAAATAAAGAATTAAAAATCAATATAGTTAAAATTGATGATCTTTTATTAAAAATTAAAGATTTACATATGCTTTGTTTTACTCTTTTTGTAGAAATTGAATGCCTGAGGTAAAGTAATAAGGAAAAATTGTAAATTATATTATCACTAAGGAGTGAATCTATAAAATGTTATAAAAAATTAATTTGAAAAAAAATAAAAAAAAATAACTTATATTAATAATTTTATTTTTTTCTTTATAGAAATTCTTATTTTTAATTTTTTTTTTTTAAAAAAAAAATAAAAAAATATTGAATTTATATCTTGAAAAACCAATAAACATATTATAATTAAAAATTTAACAAAAAATACTTAATTTATATAATTAATTATATTAAATTTGATAATTTTTAGGTATATATATATATATATATATATATATATATATATATATATATATTTTTCAGTATACTAAAAAAAAGTGAATCTTTATATTGATATTAAAGTTAATTTAATATTAAAAATAATTTGTTATTTTTTTATTTTTTAATGTTAATATATGTGATATATAGGTATGATTATAATCTATAGAAATAATGAAGTAAAAGTATATATATAATTGTATAAATATCATTATTTTTATATTTAATAATATTATTTTAATTACGTAAATATACTATTTAATTATAAAAAAATGATTATATTAATTGATACTTAATATATTTTTAAATAAATTTATTATGATAATTATTTAATATTATAAAAAATATATTAAATTATTTAATGAGTAAACAAACGTTAATCATTTAATATTTATTAAATAAATAAATAAAAAATTATATAATAATTGATTTATAATGTATATATAATTTTGCTTTTGTTATTTTTATTTTTTATGAAAAAATAAATAAATGATTTTATTATTAAAATTAAATTATATTAATGATAATAATAGAATTATATAATTATATTATGTATTTTTATATGTATTTTTATAATTTAAAATAATATATATGTTTTATTTAAAATACTATGATTTTATATTTAAATTTATTACTTGTTATGTCTTTTTTTTAAAAAAAATCAATCCAAAAAAATATAAAGGGGACGAATAAAATAGAAAACAGCATTTTTTTTTATTAGAAATTGAATATTTTTTTATATTTAATATGAAAAAATATCAAAATAAGAAATATATATTACGATATATATAATAAATATATATTTTTTTAAATATATTAATAAATAAATACGTCACAATTTCATTATTTATCAAAAAATAAAAAATAAGTAATATTTAAAATATAAGAAAAGTAACAACTAATAATTATATAAAAAATATAAATAATAATAATATTAAAAAAATAAAAAATAATGAAAATTATAGAAGAAATTTAAAAGGAAGTAGATGAAGAAATTCTTAAATAAGCTCCTTATGCTTAAAGAAAATATAAAAAAATGACTTAGTCTTTAAAATAAAAATTTATTAATAAAATAGAAATAGAAGGAAAATCTATAAAGAAAGCAGCTAATGAATTAAATATGAATTATAGTTCAGCTAAAACTATTTTGAATATTTATAAAAAAAAAAAGAAATATGAAAAAAACTTAATATTAAACAAAAACATTAGTTAATAATAAGATAATATATATTTTAATTCTGTTTCATCAAATTTATCAGAATTAGGAAAATATAATTAATATGAATAATAAAAATAGAAAATTAATAAAAATATAATATTAATAGGTCCAGGAATAAATAAATCAGAAAATATATATAAATAAGAAATTTTAGAATAATAATAATAATAATAATAATAATAATATAATAATAATAATAAAAACAATAAAAACAATAATTTAATTATATATAATAATATTTTTTAAATTAATAAATTATTAATCCATTAATTTAATAATAATACATTAATTTCATTCTTTTTAACTAAAATAATTATAATTTAAATTTATATTAATAATGATTAAAATTAGATATAATCAATAAATATAGTGTAAAAATAGTTTACTTTTTTTTTAATATTATATTTTTTCATTGTCTTTTTAAAATAAATAATAATAATGCATATATATTAAAATATTCTATTTTATTAATTTATTTTATTATTTTTTATTTATTATTTTTAATATTTTTATTCTACTTTTATTTATTGAATTGTTTTTTTTTATTTATATTTTTATATATAAACTAAAAGATTTTAATTTATACATTTTTATATTATTTTTAATATATATATATCGAACTTTTTTATATATAAATAAAATAAAAAATGAAACATTTTTAAGATTATTCAGATTTAGCTTTGTTATTTTATCGAACCAAATCTTTTTTCTATTAATTTACAGTTAGTTTAAAGATAAGATACAAAGGATTATAAAAAATGAGTAAAAATTAATAAAAAAAGTTAATTTTTCTCTTTTTAAAAATAAAATTAAATTAAAAAGTGGATACTCAGTCAAATATTAATGATGAATTAAGAGAATAAGTAAAAGCAAAAGATTTAATAACAAGCTTTTATAAATTTAATTCACCTCAACTTCTATTTGATTGGCAAGTTCAAACGGATAAAGAAATAGGTGGGGAATCAAAAGGTGCATTATTTTATAATGAAAAAGAATCTTGTGGTAAATATATTATTTTTAGATAAATAAAAACATATATAATAATATAGTAACTGTTATTGGAAAAACAATAAATGAAAGAAATGATTTATTAAGATAAAGAATGTATGTAGCATTATAATGTCTTGTACTTATTTTGTTAATTATATACATTTTATAATTATATTATATTTTATAAGTGCCTTTTGAGAACTAATTTATAAGATTATAATGGCATAAGACTTAGAATATAGACAAATGGAAATTTGTATAAAGTTGTGTTAACATGTAATACTAATTATGAGAATATTCATGATTGTTATGTATTTTTATAATTTTTATATTAAAAATAAAAAAAGGCATTTATTGTTGATAAAACTAATTAATGGTAAACTTTAGAAGTATTTTTATTTTTTATTCTTCTTTTTTTAAATTTTTTATAAAAAAGATACCCTTTTCAAGATTTTTAATTGAAAAATTAAAAGGATATGAAAATAATGTATAAAAAAAAGATTATAAAAATATAAATATATTTATATATATTTTTAATAAAAAAGAAATTTATGGAACATATAATTGAAGATTAATAAAAATTTATAATATATGGACTTTCTGTTATATTAGAATCTGAAAAAGAAGAAGAATGTTTTTTTTAATTAAAAGATATTGAAGTATTTAATATTTTAATATTTTAAATATATATATATATATATATATATATTATATTTATTCATTTTTATTTAGTTTATATATAAATTCGAATTTAATGAATTAATAAAATATTATTAAAGACCTTTTTTTTTTTAATAACCATAAAATTATTAAGAAATAAATTATATAAATTTAGGTTAAATAATTTTAGAAAAAAAAGTCGAATAATAAATAAATTATCCATCTGTAAATGAATATCTAAATTAAAAAGAAAACTAATAATTTTAATCGTTCAAAGAAAAAATAAATAAAAACAAAAAATGAAAAAAACAATTTAAAAAAATATATAAAAAATAAATATATATATATAAATATATTTATATCTAATTTGTTTAATTATATATATTTTATAAAAATATACATTATTTTATATATATTTATTTTTAAACCTTCAATTTTATTTAAAATGTTTGAATTATTTAAGTATATTTTCATAAATTTTTATTATTTTATTTTTTTCATAAATTTTTTTATTTAATTTAGAATAGATTTCTTCTGTTTTTTTAACGAAAAATCTTCCTATATTTTTCATTGAATTTTCTTTGTTTTAAATTAGTTTAGAAAAACTTTAATTTTATTTTTTAATTTTTTCGTTTAAAATTTGTAAAAATTTTTATTGAAAAATAATTTCGTTTTATATGAAATTTTTTATCTAAAATATTATTTTTTTTTCATTTTCTTTTTAATTTTTTAACTCTTTTAAAATTTTCTTTAATATTTCTTTCATTTTTATATCTTCTTTTTTATTTTATTCCTATATTTTTTCCATATTTTCACAATATTAAACAATTAAATCAAGCTTTTTTATATCTTTTTGGATTTATTATTATAGAATTTATACTTTTTCTCGATATTTCTCATTTTCTAATAATGCTATTTTCGCAAAGTTCAAGTTAGAAGGGCTAAAATAGCTCTTTCTTGATTCCAAATCATCCAAAATAAAATCGTCGATAAATTATATACAATTCTAAGGTTATATATTACTATGATAGGTTTATTAATAGAGAATTTAGATAAAAAAGTTTCAAAAAAATTATTTTTTTAGACAAAAAAGACTCAAAACTATCTAAAAGTAATTCGTTTTTAGATATATCAGATTCTAAGTTTAAATTTATATACATTTAAGTCCATATAGTGTAATTTTCAATTAAAAAAAGATGAAAAAAGTTATCTTTTTGTAATTAAAATGGCTTTTATAGACAAAAAAAAGCCTTTATATCTTCTAAAAGATTATTTTTTTAATGTATTATATCAAGTATGAAAAAGATGTTTTTATTTGAGTTTCTATATCTATTTAGTGTATAAAAAAAGAGGTATCTTATGTATTTTTATATAAAAAAATGAATTCTAGATTCGATTTTTAAGTGATTGTAATTTTTTTTTGGAGTATAATTTTTGAGTTTTATTAGTGATTAATTTTTTGGAGTTAATAATTGATTTTTTGGAAAATTTTGGAAAGTTCAGTTATTAATTATATTAGATATTCAGGGTCTTATATTAAATTTTAGTTTATATTTATTAATATAAGATTTTAATTTAGATTATGGGCATTTTTTATAGTTTTTAATTAGTTAAAAAGGTAAGCTTAGTCAGATAGTAAGTATATTTAGTCAAATTGATATCTTTTTTAGTTTATTTAAATGATGTTTTAGAAAATTTAGTAGTAAGAAGAATATGTGGAGAATATTTAGGGAAGAAAACGGGCAGTCATTTAAAGGCTTTTTTTTAAGTTTGGGGGATTCTGAAAGGTTGCTGAAAAAGATTTTCTGATTGATTTACGTTTTAGTTATTACATTTTTTTATATTGTTTATAAAAGCTTAATTTATTATTTTTTTGATGTAGTTTAAAAAAATAAAATATTCTAATGTTTTATTAAAATTAGATAATTATAATTTATAAAATAGATTAAATATATAACAATAAACATAAAATTAAATATAAAAATAATAAATATATATTAAATATATATATATATATATATATATATTATTATATAATATTTTTTTATATATTATTATGAAATATAATTATAAAATATAATTGTTTTTTAAGAATAATAATATTAATTTTATTTATTTTCTATGAATATATATTTATTTATAATTATTAAATATAATTATTCTATTTTTTAGATATCTCAGTTTATAATTTATTAATATTAGATATAATATTCTTTTTTGAAACTAGATATTTATAATTTATTTTTTTGTGAATTAAAAATATTATTTAATCTATTTAATTATTTTTATTTTGAATAGAGATTTCTAAACTATAATACTTATATTTTTTAAATAATAATTTTAGATTTAATATAAAAATAATTATTTATTTTATTAATAAATAGTATAGTTTTTTTAAAAATAAAATTATAAAAATATTTATTTATTAAAAGAAAAATTAAATAAATTTATTAATAAGATAATGATAATAAAGATAACCATCTTTTTCACATTAGTATTATTCTTTATTTTCACATTATTATTTTTCTTTATTTTCAAATTATTAGTTTTCTTTATTTTCACAATTTTATTCTTTGGTTTTTAATGGATTATAATTTCAAACTTTTGTATATTCGTTTAATTATACGAGGATAGTTTGGATTATTGGAATATCTTTATTTTATTCTTTTATTTAATTATAGGAACGTATTCTTTAGTAACGATATATTTTTGCTATATTTTTGATAAAAATAATGATTTTTAGAAAAAAAGATTAAATTAATTTAACTTTCTAAAACAGTTTATAATAGATATTATTAGAAATAATATATTTTTTTTATTTATTATTATTATATAGTTTCAGTATTTTAATTATTCTATTAAATTTAATAATAATTATTTATATATATATGATAAAAATTATTTTAATTTAGTATTATTAAATATTTTAATAAAATAAAAGAGTTTAAATTATTAAAATTATAAACTACTGGAATATTGTTATATATGAATTTTTTATAAACAAAAATAAAATATTATTAAATATTTTCTTAATTAATAAAATATAAATATTATTATATATTTAACATTCTTATTAGCTATTTTTATTTTCTTTTGTACTTTATGAATTTGTATTAGCATTATTTTTAGATTATTAGATTTATTTATTATTATTTTTTTAAAATAAAAGATACTAGTAAATTACTATCTAATTAATATATATTACTAACATTAAAATTTAAATTGATATTTACAAGCGTAAAGATATAAATCTGATCAGATACTAATCTAGGATATATTTAAAATTATTTATTTTTATATATATATAAAAATATATATATATATATATATATATAAATATATATATATATATATATTATTTTTAATGGTTATATATCTTTTAAATTTAAAATTAAAAAAAGTAAAAGTAAAGTAAAATTAAAAGTAAAAAATTAAAAATTAAAATTAAAATATATATTATTAATATAACTAAATATATATTATATATATATATATAATAAAATATATATATATATATATATATATATATCTTTTATATTAATTTAATTAATTTAATTTAAAAAAAATAAAAGTAGAAAATTTAGAAAAAGAAAAACTTTATTTAAAAATATTGCTTATTTAAAGCTAAAATTATAGAATTTTATATATAATAAATTATTGAATTTTAAAATTATTATAAAATTTATATTATTAGTACATTCTATATATTATATTAAATTATCTAATATAAATAAATATTTCAAATTAGATATTATAATAAAATAGATCAAACAAATATTTATACTAATTTAATTTTTATTAATTTTAAAAAATAAAATTTTTAAAATTAATATTATTTATTTATATAATTTTAAGTAAAAAAAATAATAATTAATTAAATATTAAAATACTTATGTCATTATTTTAATATTTAAAGCATAATATATTTAAATTAATAAAAAAAATTATTTAACTTATAAATTTATATTATATAAAATTACTGATAATAAATATAATTTTCTATAATAGTCTAAATATATATAAAAAAATATATTATAATTATTATATTAAAAACAAAAAAAATAATTATAAAAATATTTATATATTTATACATATATATATATATATATATATATATATATATATATTAAATTGATTAGTTAATATTGGTAATCACATTATGTTTTTTTTATAATATTTTAGTTATTTTTTTTATTTTTATAATAATTTTATTTATTTTTAATTTAGTAATATAATTTTTTTTATAAATTAATTAAATTATTTATTCTAACAATCTAAATCTTAATATTTTTTTAGTCAAAATATTTTTAATCTTTTTTATTGGTTTTTATTTTATGTTTTTTTTATATTTAACATTTAATGTTTTCTTCTTATTTTATATTTTTGGAATTATTTATCTCTTTTCTTAGTAAATTTTTGTTGTTGTTGTTTAAATTAAATATATATCTTTTATATATCTGAAATAATATATATAATTAAAAATTGAACAATAACTTATTTCTTTTATTTTTTTATATTTTTATTTTAAAAATCTATATATATTTTTAATACAATATTAAGATACTTTATTTATTTTTATTCAATTTTTTTTTATTTCTTCATTATTAAAATATGAAAATTTTATATATTAGAATCTTTTTTAGAGTAATAAACATTTTCCATAATTATTTTTTTTTTCATTTATAGAAAAAAGAGATTTTTCTTTTTCTTTTACAATATATATTATTAAACTAATAAATAAAAAAAATATATTTAATTATATAATAAATTTAATTAATTTTTTTTTTTAATTTTTAACATAAAATATATATTTATTTATATATTTTTTCATGTTTTTTTATATAAAATTAAAAAAAAAAATATTATATAAAAATAATTTAGTAAATTAAAAATAAAAAATTTAAAAAAAAATTATTTATAAAAATATTAATAAAAAAAAAAATTTTTAATAAAAAAAAAAATTAAAGGACGAAATCTTTATCATTTTTTAATTAAAATATTTTAATTATTAAATAACTTTTATAAAAATAAAATATGTCGACCATCAAAAATAAAAGCAGTACTTAAAATAGTTAATAACTAAAATATAGCGATTAAAACATTAAAAAAAGTGCATTAATAAAATAAAATTAAAGTACAGCAAAAAAAAAAGTTAGTTTGGAAAAACGATATTGAAATAAATATAGTTGAAAATTGGAAAGAATATAATATGATAGATGATAATAATGATAAAACATCATGTAAATGTGTAATTTTTTGAAATATATAATATATATTTAAAGAAATGAGAGTTAATATAATAAAAAAAAATGTAATAATTTTTATAATAAAAATTGTGTTTAAAATATATATTTATTTAATTATAATATATAAATTATATATTTTTATTTTTTTTATGAATAATATTATTTTTTAATAAACAGATTATATTTTAGCATAATATTATGGTTTTTTTATTTTATTTTTTAAATAAATAATTTTTTATTATTTTTATTAACTTTGAAAATATAAATAAAGTTTACAATAATTAAATCTATAACTTTTTATTAATATACAATAAATAAAATTAAAAAAAACTAAACATATTTATATTAATATATATATATATATATATATATATATATATATTTATATATTTATATAAAAAGAATCAATTTTCTTAATTTTCTTCTATATTTTTATTTATCCTTTATAATTTAAAAATATTATATTTAAGTAATCGATTATATATAAAAATATTATAAATTATATATACCATCTAATTCTTTTTCCATCATTCCATTCTCCTTCTTTTTCAGCTCCTTAAGACCCAATATACACTCCAATTCCGTGTTATCTTCCATTTGCCCATTAACCTTTATAAACTCTTCCTAAAAAATAAAAATAAAAATAATATAATCAAAAATCAAATTTACCATCTGGCCATTAAAATACACCATAACCATGTTTTTTATCATCTTTATATTCACCTTCATATCTTCTCCCATCTGACCATGTAAAAACTCCTTTTCCTTCCATTTTATTACTGACCCAATCTCCGTCATACTTTCTCCCATCTGACCAATCATAGCATCCTATTCCATGTATATTATTCTTATTAAATTCCCCTACATAAGTCGACCCGTCAGACCAATGGAATTTTCCTTGTCCATGTTTTTTACCATCTACATAATCTCCCTCATATCGAGCCCCATCAGGCCATTCTTCAACCCCCTTTCCGTGTTATTTATCATTATGCCAGTCACCTTCGTATACAGCACCATCCATGTGTAGATATTTTCCTTTTCCGTTCGCTTTATCTTCTATCCATCGACCAATAAATATATCGCCATCACTATGTATTAGTCTACCTTTTCCTTGTGCCATATCTATTATTTTTATTATTAATTAATAATGTTATTTTTTTTTATTTTATTTTTTGTTACTATTCCTCCAATAACCCTCATATACAGAACCATCGGACCAATATTATACACCTCTGCCATGCCTTTAGCCGTTTTTCCATTATCCTACATATACAGATCCGTTCTCGAATTAATAAGGGCCAAAATTGGGTAAATCATTATCTCCAAATTCATCTTCGTCATAGTCAAAATTACCTATATCTTGTAATGATTTTTTAACTTTTTCATTTAAATAGTCGGGGATTTATGTAATAGGCCATGCAATATTAGATTAAGGTTGATGTGTATTTTCTTAAGTGTGATTTATATTATATATATTGTTGGGTTTTTGTAAATTCTCATTTATTGTTGAATTAGATTAACGTTTTTCGTTTGTTAGAACTTCTTTTATTGTTTAGGCGTTTGTTAATGATTCGTGGTTTTTGAAATTTTTATTGTAAGATTGATTTTTTTCTATATAATTATATATTTATATATATATTATATCATATTATATATATTTTGTTGTTTTACCGATTTAAAATTGCTCTTCTTGGTTATGGTCTTCAAATGGATTTTTGGGGTTTCTTGAGTCGTCTTATATTTAGTCTTTTTAATCAGGCATATTACTACAACAATTTCCCATTTTGTTTTTTTTCTTGCTTTTTTTTTTGTTTTTGTTTTTTTTTCTTATTATTATAATTATTTTTTGCTTATGTTGATTTATTTATTTTCTTGTTTTTTTTTTTTTTTTTTAAAAAAAAAAAAAAAACTAATATTTTTTGTTTGTTTTTAAATGTTTTTATTTTATATAAATATATATTCTTCTGATTTGATTTTTTTTTTTTTTTCATGATAATATATATTATAATTTTTTTTTTCATAATTGAATTTATATAATAATATTTGTAGTTAATAAATTTATTTATGTTTTTATTTTATAAAGTCTATAAAAATTAAATTAAAAAATATATATATATATTTTTTTTTTAATATAAAATATTTTATAAAAAATATTTAAAATAATATAAATCAGAAAATCTAAAACAAAATTATTATTTGTTTATTTTCTATCTTTAAATATAAAAATTTATATTTTTTTTTATTTTTATTTTATTTTATTTTTTTTTGTAAAAAAATATGAACGTTAATTAGTTTAGCAATTAGCCTAATAATAAATAAAATTAAGTTTTTTAAAAAGTAAAATTAACAACCTCAACTGAATAAACAATTCGAAAAATAATGAATTAAAATTTAAAATAAATAACTAAGAATTCTAGTTAATTATTAAATTAAAAAAAACAATAAAAATTAAAATAAAAAAATGAAATATAATCTATAAATTCAATTGTAAAAAAAAAAATAAAAAAATATATATATATATACTTTTTTTCTTAAATAATAAAAGAAATTAATAAAAAGAAGCTCAGTATGTTTATCTTCTGGAATTTCAACAGAAATCACAGACGAGAAATAAAACTAAAAAACTTAAAGAAAAACTATATTAAAGAAAATAGCAAATTATAATATTAAGCCGATTTTTTATTTAAAAATTTCGATAAATTAGTAAGTGTAAGATTTGTCAAAGAAAAATAGAATTAAAATATATAAAATTAATAAATATAATAAAATGAATGTGCAAAATCCTTAGCGAATATATTCTAGAATTTAAAAGGGGAAAAAAAAATTATTATTCGAAAACGAAAAGCTTAGCTTTTTTAGAGGTTAATTAAAAAATCGAAAAAAATCAATAATAATAATTCGAAGATTTAGAATAATATTTAAAAAAACCTTTAAAAAATAAGGATAAAAACGAATTTATTATGGATTTATCAAGGGATTGCTTTTAAAAAATAAAAAATACTTAATACGAAATATATAAAAAAAATAAGAATATTTTAAATTTTATTTAAAAAAAAATAATTAAAAATATTTAATCTTTTGGTCAAAATAATAATACATTGATTTATTAAAATTAATAAACTGAGAAAATAAATTAATAAAATAAGAGTACATATTAATTTAATTTATAGTAGAATAATTCTTTAATTTATAATAATTTTTTTAATTATTTCGCTTTTTATAGGCCTGAATTTGATAAAAGTTAATTTTTGTTAAATAAAAAGGAATCAAATATTGATATTTAGGTTTTATTAAAAGATAAAATGTAAAAATATAAACAGTTAAAAATTTAATAATAAATTTAAAATAAATAAACAAATAATTCATTACAAAATATATAAAGTAAAAAGAAAAAAAATATGAATATTAATTAATTAAAAAAATATATATGATATATATATATATATATATATATATATATATATATATATATAAATATATATATACATATATATAATTTTTTTTGTTATTTAATATAAAATATAGTGTTATATTAAAAAATAAAAATAAAAAAAAACATATAATATATAAATTATTTTATTTGTTTTAAAAGAAAAAAGATCATTTTTTCTTTTTCTTTTAAAAAGTTGATTCTTTAAATTTGACTTTTTTATTATTTTTAGATTATTAACTATTAATATCTGAACTACAATTACTCTCGGATCTTTTTTTAATGATAGATTTTGGCTTATCTTAACTTATTTATGAATTATTAAGCTTTTCGTTTTCTTTTTTTAATTTCTAGGTGACTAAATACTTTTATTATTATTAATATTTTATTATTTATTAGAAAGGGCAAGTGCATTTTATTATTTATCTTTTAAAAAGTTATTTTCAGTATTTTTTATTTAATTTTTTTTCGATTAGTCTTAGTTGTTATTTTTTAATTATTATATATTACTATTTGCTTATTATTTTGCTATTTTTTCGGCTTCGGCTTTTTATTATTCAAGCTTTTCCATTTCGGCTTTTTATTATTCAAGCTTTTCCTTTATTTCCTATTCTTGTTATTGTAAAAGAACTTATTCTTAAGTTAATTTTTATTCTTATTCTTCTAATTATTTTTATTCGAGTTCTATTTTGACGATTTCTTCGGATTTTTATTCCTATTATATTAATTCTTGCTTGTTTTATAAAAAACTCATTTATGTATAGAATAGAAGACATGATTTTCTTTTTATTTATTCGGATGTAATCTTATTTTGACCAATTTATAATTAAGTTGCTATTAATTATTATTACATTGTCTATAATTATGTTTGGCATTATTATATGTTTTTATCTTTTTCTTCTTCTATATTATTACTTTATTGACTTAATATTAATTATATTTCTTCCTTTTTTTTTAAAAAAAAAAAATTAATTATTTTTGTTTATATATATATATATATAAAATACATTTGATAAATCATATTACTTTTCATTTTCTATAACGTCTATATTAGAACAATGTATTTTTATTTAATCTTAATTTGATAAGTAGGTATTACCTTGATCAGAAGGAGATAATTATTATGATTGATTCATTGACTAATTTTAGTCTGTTTTAAATTATTCTGTATGTAATTTCTCAACGCATTCTTATATATTAATAGAATCTTAATCAATATTTATTGTTTTCTTTATGTCTTAATTATTTACATAACCACAACATTATCCCATTTTTTAAATTACTAAAAAAATGAATATTTATAAAAATATATTATATATATACAAAAAAATAGTCTGTTAAATTTTATTTTACAAATTTAAAAAAATAAAAAGTATATATAGATATATATATAGATATATATATAGATATATATATATAGATATATATATATTATATATATATATTTTTATATATATATATATATATATATGTATTTTTTCATTTATATATATCTTCTAGTTCTCCGTATTATTCTAAATCTGAAATTATATTTATAATTTAATTATTTTAGATTGTTTTTTTAGCTAATTTTAATGTTTTTTCTTTATTAAATTAATTTAATTCATCTATTTCATTGTTTTCCATTAAATTAAAATATTAAACCTTTTTTTAGAAAAAAAAATTAATTTAATTATAAGTAAATTTAAAATACTTCTTCAATTAAAATATCATCTATAAATTTATCGAAAATTTCATGAAAATTCTCATTGTAAAAATTTATAAGGTTAAATGCAATTTTATTAATTATTTTTTTGTTTTTACATTCATTGGTAGGTTATTTAATTATATTTTGATTATTTATTTATTATATTTCTTTATTTAAATTTTTTAGCCAGTCTTTTTAGATTTATATTAATTGATAATCTTCATTTTCTTTCCTTTTTTCAATGACTGAGTATAAAATAAAATCACCTTCTTTAAATTTTTAACATTTAGAGTATTTTATATCGTCTAAAATTTATTGATCTTCATCTATATAAGCTTTATAAAGAAAATCTTTAAGTTTCAAATCTTTATTATGAGTTTATTTAATTAATATAGAGTCAAATTTATCACTTTATAAGTATTTTTTTTCATTAAGTAATATTTTTTTTTGTATATTATATTCAAATAGTAAATTAGATAAATATGCTGATTAGATTCTAGATTAGTTTGGTTAAGATTTTATTTAAGATTAGATTTTAGATAAATGTGAAGTTTTGGATTTGTAATATTCTAAAGGATTAATTTTAATGTTTTTTTAGGTATTCTAAATATCATTTATTTCTTAAAATGTAAATAATATAGAATTCATATTTTTATAAATATTAAAAAAAAATTAATTTAAAATAAATAAATATATTAATTAATTTATCTTTTATATTTATATAAAAAAATATTAATAAATGATTCAATCTGAAACTGTAAAAAAAAATATATTAATAATTTTTGAATAAATAATAAAAGAAGGCAAAATCGAAAATTTCAAAAATAGAAAACTAACATATAGACGAAGCTGTAAATTTAGATTCTGAGGGTTAATATTTTTTTTTCTATTTTTTTTATTTTTTTTTAATATTTATATTTTATTACTTAGTATATATTTTTATATTTGTATATTTATATATTTAAATATATATAATATTAAAAAAATATAAGATGTATAATCACATGATTAGCCATAAATTTTATAATACCTTCTGATTATGATAATTTAGATGTTAATAATGAATGTAAAAAATTATTTAAAAATATAAACCTATTAATATGTAATTATAATCTAAATTAAGACCTTTTATTCCTGATTATTATACAGCAGTAGGAAAAGTTGATGCTTTTTTAAAAATGGCAAGACCTGATTAATAAGATGAAATTTACTATGAAAAATTATTAATATATGCATATATGTATTTATATAGGATGAAATTGATTTAAATTAATCAAATAGACCTGTAATAGATTAAATGTATAAAGAATTAGTTAAAAAGAAGAAGGGTAATAAAAATATAACAATACATAGTATAGAAAATGCAGAAAAGAATTAAAATGATTTATAATAATGGATTAATATAGATTTAGTTAGAAAAAAAAAAGCAACCTCTAAGTGTTTCATATACAAAATAAATGCCGGTAATAAATAATTTAATGTAAGAATAAATTATATATATATATATATATATATATATATATATATATATATATATATATATATATATATATATATATATATATATGTTTGTTATTTTTTTTTAGATATTGCCTTAAGAAATTTATGATGCAATTTCTAATATTTAAATTCAAAACGAAGTATTAGATTTCAATTTATATGATTATAGTAAATTGACTTGTATCATTTTAGATTTTCCAGTACATAATACTAACAATAATACTTATATTATATAAAGTTTGCATGTTTTATTTACATTATATTCCGAATTTAAAGCCATTTAACATTTTTACTAAAATAATAATTAGTTGTTTTATGAATAAAATTAAATTTAAATAAATTCATAATATAAAATATTTTATATAATTTATTTATCTTTATTTAAGAAATAAATATATTTTTGATTTAATTTGTTTTTTTATTTTTTTTTAAAAAAAAAATAAAAATTATATTTAAAATAATTTTTTTTTAAAAAAAAATTGAAAATGTTAAATAAACCTGAAAACAATAATCAATAAATTGAAATGTCTTCTTAATAAGTTCCTCAAAAAAACTAGGAAAAAAAAAAAGACTATGAAAACGAATAATAAATTTAAAATTTAAATAGTGAACTTTAATAATATAACTCATTATTATATATGCCTAAAAGTGATTTTTTTTCTGATATAGATAGATAGGCAGCTTATGAAGATATATCTTCTTTATTAAGAACTGTTGGTTTTTTAGGTTTAAGTCGAATAAACATGAGTGATATAGATTATCATATTATAAGTAAAAGAAAAAATAAGATATAATAGAATATATATATTATAATATTTATATAAATACATTTATATTTATATATATATATATATTTATATATTTATTTATTTATTTATTTATTTATTTATTTATTTATATATAGTGAGAAAGGCTTAAATAGAAGGAAGAGAAGAAGTTTTAAATTAAAATGGAAATTAAGAAAATGAAAGAACTTAAGTTAAATTATTTTAAGTGAATATGTTAGTAATTTTTTTATAAAAAGGTATATATTTATATATAATTTAGAAAAAAGATGGTTTATATATAACTTCCGATAGCTAATAATTATTTTTATTAGAAGAATAAAGGCAAAAGCAACGTATGATGAATAACGATCGTTATTTATGTAATTTTTTCAAAACAAATGGCGATTTAGTAATCGATTAGGAATTTTATGAAAATAAAATATCAAAAATAAGGATTATTTCGTTTCATTAAAACCTATCTTTAGCAACTAAAAGGAGAACAGCAGTAATGTGTGAAAGACTAAATTAAAATAAACATATTCCATACCGTTTGAGGGTGTATATAGGGAAAATTGTACTTACAAAACACTTTAGGATGATTAAGGAAGATTTATAAATGCAGGAATTAAAAGAATTGATTAAAAAATATAAAGATAGATGCGATTTGGCACTTATACCAGTTTTGGATAAGTCTATTAAATTAATCGAATAGGAAATTGCTGAATTCGAGTGCTAGATTAATAGATAGCCTTTGAAGGAAATCGCTATATTGAAAAACGAGAGAAATAATTTGTGTAAATTAGTTTAGGATGAGGCGAATTTACTGAAAGATTTAATGTTTGAAATCATTGAAAAATGGAAGTAAATTTAAGCCACAAGAATTGCAACTAAAATGAATTGTTCTCCATTTAGGTTATATGCAAGATAGTATAGAAATAATGAGAATGGAAACGAACTAGAACTCGGGCTGGGGAAAGAGGCTATTATGGAAGATAAGGACGTGGATGGGATTGAGTAGAAGAGGAGGAAATAAATAAGAAAAGATAAAATTTTTGTCGAATTAGTGGTAAATGGGTAGGTAGTAACGAGAAGTAAGAGCTGCTTTGTAGAATGGCCGTCTTATGAGGTCAAGATTATGGAACAATTCTATATATTGGTGTTTACTAGACCTTCTTCAATGCAGTTAAGGGTGATTTAAGATGGGATTCTGGAAAAAATTATAGATGTTATCGAAGTGGAGATTCCAGGGGACAAAAGTAGGAGTATTACGGCGAGTGCGTAGATCATTAAAGAATATGAGTTTTGTTTTGGGGCAAATTAGAGGAAGATTTTTAGGGCAGTTTAAATTGAAAATGAGAAAAAAAAACTGCTTTTGAAAAGTAAGGAGAAGTTAACATAAATTTAGGGGAAAAAAGAAGAGAATAAAAAAAAAGACGAAAATAATGAGAATAAAAAGGAGGAATAAGAAGAAGTAAATAAAAAAGAAAATTTAAATATAGACTTATTAAATCCTTAAGAATTAGAGGAATTACGAAAAGAAGAAGAGAAGAAAATCCTATAAATGAAAATCGAAGAATTAAACAAATAAGAAGAAGAAGCGAAAGAAAAAGCGCTTTATAAGGGAAGAATTAGTATTCTGAGTGAATGGACTGGTCAAGGAGATAGAATGCCACCTTAAAATATAGATAATTTTGGCAAAGGAGGAGGTTTAGAAGATCAAAGTGAAAATGATAACCCATAAAATATAGTAAAAAAAATATAAATTGACAACGGGGAGGAAGAAGGATTCCATTTTGATGTAAATGACCCTAGAAACGAATTATAAATAGAATAATTAAGACAATTAAGATATAGGGATTAAAGAACGAAAGTTGAGAGAGACTTATATTTGCCGTTTGCTCATATAATGAGTTTAAGGTAAAGACTAATTAAGTGTAGTTTGATTAATCCTGATGTGGGTAATATACCGATTTTCGAAGAAGAGATTTTTAATAGTGAAGATCTAATGAAGGTTATAGAAGATACGGAAAAGGGAATATTTTTAAATGAGGAAAATATGGAAGAATTAAACAGGATTGAGAAAAAAGGGAGGTTTTTGGAAGATGTAGCTATTAGTCACAAAGAAGTCTTCGATGCGCAAAAAAAGGAAACTAAGAAAAGAATCGAAAATATAAAGAGGATTTTATTACAAAGATAGAATTTTGCAAAAGTAAAGAAATAAAATAACTAGTTTGGAGCACCTTTGGTATTAAAAAATGTTGTCAATGAATATAGAATCGATGAAAATGAAATTATACTCTTTGAACTTATTAAATAATGCTTTACTTAATAAAGAAAATTATAACCAAAGAAAAAAAAGGAAGAGAAAATTAGACTGGTTGATATTTAGGATAACATTAGTATTTTTATACACGTAAATATATATATTTATTAATTTTTTATTTATATGTGCATTATTTTAGATCTCACATGGTACTAATGTACCTATGAGAGATGATTCAGTTAGTAAAGCCTAATTTAATAATTTAGTAGCTAATAGATAAATGAAATTATTAAATAATATAGGATTTTAAGCTGTTTTTATGTAAAATATGTAAGGAAATATGCCTATGAATATGATGGGAAATATGCCTATGAGTATGATGGGAAACATGCCAATGATGGGAAATATGAATATGATGCCTTAATAAACAATTATGGATTAAAAATAAGGAAATTAACGTATTATTTTTTATATAAAAGAAAATATTAAAAAAATAAGTAAAATAAATAAAACCAATTGATTTTAAGAATATAAATGAATTAGAAAGAGTAAATTCTTATGTATAAATAAAGCTGATATTCGAAAAATAAGAATAAATAGTTTGCTCTAAGCCTTTTGAAGGTAATAATCCAGATTGGAGTTCTGAAAGACAATTATTAATATAATAATTATAAAACCGAAAAATTTCAGTTTACGAAATAAATAATTAATAAAATAGGCTTTTAGTAAGTCTTTTTGACTTAAAAATAACTAAAAAAAAAAGCAAGACTAAACTAGGAAAAGAGACTAAAATAACGCACTCCTTTTATTTAGGACATATATGTATTCCTCTATTTACTCTTTTTTCGAATTAAAAGTTAAATGCAACTTTTAGAGTCAATAGACCTATTATTATATTAGGATATTATACTGATATTAATAATTTATTAGGTTTTGACTCTGAATATGATCCATAAAATACTCTATAGGCACCCCCATAGCCTTTAAATTAGGAAAGTAAAATTAGAATTGACCCTTAGATTCCTACTACCCTTAATATGTCGATTAATATAGAGCCTTTCGTAGAAATTTCCCAAGAAAATGATTAATAGTTTTACGGCGAAAATCAAGATAGTAGGCTTCAATATATAGCGAATATATGGTTTGCGAATATAAAAAAAAAACCCATATTAGCTAAAAGACACATTAAATTATTCGGAAACGATATAGAATAGAACTCCTTTTTCCTCCCTAGATATATATCTAGACTAAAACCACCTAATATATTTGTAGATGGGATAAATGAGGCGAGAGATATAAGAAAGGACCCACATGCAATAGAAAAAGTTGCGAGATTTGTAAGTTTAATACCGTTTAAAAATGATACTGACCATTTTAAAGATATTCCTGATATACATTGTGATTCGTAGTAGTTTTTAGATTTAAAAGGAGGAGATTTCGAAGAACATGCTTTTTTACTTTGCAATTATTTCAACTACATAGACTTTTATTCAGGAAGGGAACATATTAAATCATATGTATTGTTAGGACATGCGATTCCTGAAGGATAGACTTTCTATACATTAAGAAGAGATACTAAAACTAATAAAGTATAAACTATACATATATATATATATATACATATATTATATACATATATATATATACATATATATATATACATATATACATATATATATATACATATATATATATATATATACATATATATTTTTAGGTAGAAATATGGAATCCATCTACAGGTGAACCTTATGTTATGACTACGGAAATTGTAGGAACTTAGTTTTTATGTTGTACTATAGGAAAAAAGAAATAGTCTGTAATATCTAAATATGATAAAGCTTGTCCATTATATGATGTCGGGTGTTTAATTGATGGATAAAATGTATATGTAAATATTTAAAATAGTGGAAGTCCAGGACAGATTGATTGGAAAGTTGAAGATGTGAAGTTTTGGTAACCTTTTTTGAGCAAAGTTTAATATGATTCGATTTTCGGCGAAAATGGAATAGAACCTTAACATAAAAATGAAGATAGTCTTATTTATGAAGATACACCTATAGAACCTGTTTAGAGATTAGAAAAAACTATTTAGAGTTATTTAGAAAATAGGATTATTGAAAGTAGATATAAAGAAGTTAATTATAATGCAGAGCATACTTCTTTTACATAAAAACATGATTTCTATATTAGAGATAATTTATTATAGTGGTTAGAATAAATGAAATATAAATGTAGATTGTCGGGATTAGGGGTATTTATATATAAATATATAAATATATATATATATATATTTATATATATATATATATATTTATATATATTTAAATATATATTCTAGTCTGATTTATCTGAAAATTAAAATGGATATTAAGAAAAATATTAAAATGCTAAAATTACATTGGAAAAAATATAAGGCGAGTTAGATGAATATATTAGAAGTGGAGAAAACCTATATGGATTTCCATTAAATCTGTCGTTTACTTCAGTGGATAAGGTTTGGGATGAATTAAAGCATACAGGAATTCATGAAATTTTAGCTAGTGATATGAAATACATTTGTAGTGTTAAATGCTATTCTTATCCGAATTTTATAATTTCGGTGTGGGTTTTTGTAGGAATTGTATATTCATGATATATAGATATATATATATATATATATTACAAAAAATCATTAAAATTATTATTCTTATTTATTTTTTAATATATCTTCTTATTTTTTTCCTTCGTTTTCTTATTCTTGTTTAATTTCTAATTATCTGATTTTGATATATAAATCTTTAGCTTCTTTAGATATATTTTTAGGTATATCAACTTTAAATACAACTAAATGATCACCTTTAAACCTTGAATGTTCTTATTCAATGCCTTAATTCTTCAGTTTATGAATTTCGTCAGGTTAAATTCCTCCTAGTATATTTAAATCTACATATCCATATAACGTTTTTATATTTTTTTTTGTTCCCAGTATAATTTCCGAAGCACTTAAAAAACAATCTGTAATTATATTATTGTTAATTCTTTTAAAATACGGGTGTTCTTTTATATTAATTTGGATAAATAAATCCCCGTTTTTTCCGCCCTATTCTCCAGTGTTTCCACTCCCTTCTTTTCTCAGGACTTATTTATCTTTAATACCTTTCGGTATTATGATTTTTTCGTCCTGAGTTTTTTAAATAAAGGCAGTTCCGAGGCATGTTTTGCACTTATTTTTGACGATTTTACCAAACCCTTCACATTAATCACATATTTATTCGCACATTTAGTGATTTTCCTTTACTAATAAAATACCTGTACCCCCACAGGAGTAACATTTAGATGGTATTGTACCTGTTTATGCCCTTGTACCTTTACATATATAACATAAAACCTTCTTTTGGAACTAAACTTACTTCTAAATAGTTTATTACATGATTTCGAGGAAATCTACATGCAATTGAATTTATATATCTTCTCCTTTTTTAGCAGGCCTTGCTCTAGTCTTGCTTTTACGCTCAAAAAAAGCATCAAAATCTTAAAAAGTTTCTTCGTAAAATTATTATCGATTCTTAGGTTTTTCACTTTTCTGTTATTATTATTATTCTTAAAAATCTTCGTAAGAATTACTATATCCACAAGAATCATATATTGCTCTTTTACTTTAATCTGACAATATATCATATGCGTTTTATATTTGGGAAAAAATGTCTTTTGATTAAGGAGATGGGTTAGTGTCAGGATGATATTTCTTAACTAGCTTATAATATTGGGATTTTATTTCCTATATAGTGGAGGTTTTAGGCAATTAGAGGATTTAATATAGGTTTTTATTATTATATGAGGAATATTTATATAATGATTTAATTAACATATTTTTGTTTTATATATTAAATATTTATTTTTGTATTTTACAATATTAAATTTAATTTGATTTTTAATATTTTTAGATGTAAATTTTAGTGTTTATAATATAGTTCGTAGAAAATAACTATTTTAATTTTTTAAAAAACTCATAATGCTATAATAAATAACTGGGTTATTTAATTAATAAATATCTAATATAATAATAATTTAATTATAATGTTATTGTATTTTCGGAAATTAAATGCTCGTAATTTATTTATTTATTTTAAAAAAAAAAAAAAAATATTTTGAATTGTTTCTTAATAAAATTAAAAGAATTCCATAAGTATATTTTTTTAAATAATATATACTTATTTATCTAATTTATTGTTATTTTTAAAAAAATTATATGTATTTTATTTGCTATTTAATTTTAATTCTATATTTTATCAATATTAGATTTATAATTAACATTTTTTTACTTAGTTATTCTCTTTATTTGTATGATTAGTAATTATATTTATTTATTTTATGTGATTAAGTTTATTTGATTGATTTTTGTTAAAATTATAAATATATATATATATATAGATATATATATATATATATATATTATTATGTATTTATTCATATTTTTAATATAATAATTAATATTTAAACATTAATTATTTAGTACTTTTCTAATTATTATTATATTATATGATATTTAAATTTTTTTTTTTTTATTTTAATAAAAATATTTATATTTTTAATTAATATACTATAAATATAAATTATTTAAATTTGATATTTAATTATATAGTAAAAAATTTAATAAAATGTATAAAATTTTTAATTTTTCTTTTCTTTTCATTTTATTATTGTCTTATAAAATATTTATATAATTAGAATTTTCTTTATAAAACTTACAGCATATTTAGTATAATATTAATATTTTGTCTGCTTTATATATTTACATTTTTACAATTATTTTATATATATTATAATTTTATTTATAAAATTAATATTATTAATTCATTAAAAATAAATTTTTATAGAAAAAATTATAATTAGCTCAAATATATAATTTCTATATACAAATTTTATTTTAATTCAATATTCGCATTAATAATCTAAATTATCTTTAAATTATTATTTGCAATTATAATATAATTTTTTTAAACAATCTTTAAATTCTCTATCACATATATATATATATATATATATATATATATATATATATATATACATATACATACATATATATTATTTATATTTAATTAAATTTTTTACACTTTTATATTAGATTCACCTGGCAATAGTAAATTTTATTTGTAATGTTCTTAAAAACATTTTGGAGAAACGCAATTATTTACACAATTATTATTAAAATCAGATGGTATTTATATACATTTATATGGCAAAGTTTAATTTTTTTAACAATTTTCGACTCTATTTCTGTAAAATCTTTCGAAATCGTTTGTTTTTTTAGTTTATATTTAATAAATGAATAAATAAATAAAAGCTATATATAAATATAATTTCATAGAAAATAATAAATATTTTATAATTATATAAATAAGTACATATATATATATATAAAAATAAAATTGATATATTAAAAAAACTAAAAACTTAATATAATTGATTATAAAAGAATTTTATATAAATATTATAAATACATCTATATATATATATATATTTAACAAAAAAATAAAAAAATATATAATATTAATTATAATATATATATATAAAAAATAAATAAAAATGTTAAAAAAAATTCAAACTATAATACTAGTTTCCATAATTTCTATATTATTAATAATTTATAATGTTCAAAAGCCTAAAAAAGATACTATAAAAAGTCCCACTAGAGACGACATAGCCACATGTTAAGTCAGATAATGTTTTCATCCTTTATATGAATGTTTTTAAGATAAAAATTGTGAAAAAGAATTGATTGAAATGGAGCACAAATATGAATAAGATCCTTCTTAATATGAAACTTTAGTATCATAATTAAAAGCAAGTGAATTAAAGGAATTATTTTCATGTTATAAAAAAAAATGTCAAGTAGAAAGTTATATATAGCATTGTGGAAAAGAAGATGTTTATATAAAATAATGTTTCAGAAATAAAGACTGTTAGAAAGAAAATAAAGCTTATTTTGATAATTATAATACTTGTTCTAATAGAAAATATCAAGCCTGTGAAGGTTTATAAGGAGAAAAGTAATTATAATGTATATCTTAAGAAGTTATTTGGTGTGCATCGGATGGATTAACAGATTTAAAAGGAGAATTAGCTAGTGCATTTTTTTGTTTATGAAATAAAATATTATAATAAAAATTATTAATATTTTATATTTATTAAAAATATTAATCGATTTTTATTTATTTAATTTATATAAAATACTATAGCATTATTTTTACATAAGTTCAAAAATTATTAATATATTTTTTTTTTAGAATATATGTATATACAATTATATATATTTTAATTTATATTAATTAGTAAATTATATAAATGTTTATATTAAATATTCAAATGTATATTTATTGTTAACTTATAATATAAATATATATATATATATATATATTTATATATATATATAATAGTATTATATATTAAATTTTATACGTTACGTTAATATAATATATATTCATAAATATAGAAATTATTTAATTCATTTTAATATATAATTCCTATAATTTTTATTTAAAAATAAATGTTATTATTATTTAAATAATAAAAATTATTATAATTTATAAAGCATTTAGTTTAATTTATTTTATTTATATTAAAATGTTATTAATTGTCTTTCTCTTTATTTAATTATTATTTATATTATATTAAAATAAAATTAAAGATAAATAAAATATTAATAAAAAATGCAAAAATTATATTAACTTTCTTTTAAATTATCTTTTTTCAATTCAAATCATTATAATCTATATTAGATAAAAAATGGTTTCTTATTACCTTCTCCTCCAAAAAGACCTTTACATTTTAATTAATTATTTATGTAAAAATATCTTAAAAATAATGAATAACCTCTATCTATATAAGAAATGTAAAAATGTATAAAAGATGATTCACTTTATTAATAAGAGAAGATAGAATGCAAAAAACTTTTAAAATAAGAATAAGAAAAATATTAACATGAATTAAATTAATATAATAAAAACTACAAACTTCCTAAAAAACCCTCTTCCATTTTTATAAGTCTTGTTAAAGAATATTATAGTAAGAATGGGACTAAAGGTTAAAAAATAACTGAAAAAATATAAGAAATAAAGGAAATTTATAAAAACCTGACGTAAGAATAAAAAAACAATTATTAGAATCTTTAAGAAAAATAAAGATAAATATATGAATAAGAACTTTAAGATTTCTAAAAAAAAACTCTTAAAACAAAATCCCTGAGTACTAGAAATTATCAGGCTATAATATATTCCTTTAAGAACAATATTCTCAAAAATAAGATAAATAATAAATAGGATTTTTGGCTTAAGTAGGTTAAAAATGGTAAAATTTAAGTGAAGAAGAAAAATAAAAATATAATGAAAAAGCAGAACAATAGAACATTCAAAAAAGTTAATAACTTGAAGTTTTTCTTTAAAAATATAATATGGGTTTGGAAGAATTCAAAGTATTATTAAAGAAAATAATTTAAAAACTAAGAAAATATTGATTAAATATCAAATAATTAGTAATAATAGAAAGAAAAAAAGCAGTAAAAGAATTCAAAAGTAAAGAATAATAATAAATAAGAAAAAGTTCTTAAAAAGTCTTAAAAATGAGAACAATGATAAAGAAGAAAATCATATAATTTTATAAACGAGTTAAAAAAATTATTATTAGATAAATAAATATTAAAAAAAAAATATATTTAAAAAGATATTTTTATTTTAAAAATATATAAAAAAATTATATAAATAAATATTTTATATATTTAGAAATATATATTTTAAAAAAGAAGTTTATTTTATTAATTATATATATATATAAATATTATTTAAATAAATATAAATATAATAATATATATATATATATATATATTTATATATATACTATTTATTTTTATATTTATATATTTTTTTCATTATTTTTTTTATTTGAGATTATTATATTATTCCAAAAAATACCTTTATGTACTTTTTACAATATTTTTATTAATTAAAAAATGCGAGCTAATGGATATAATTTAAATACCTTTTTTTATAAATATAAATGTTTAAATTAACTTGATATATTCAATGTATATTCTCCATTTTATTTCTTAATAAAATGTTAAGGACCTTATATTTCTATACCAATTTTATCATTTTCTAAATAAAAATCTAGACTAAAAATATTATCAACTAATGTATATATATAATATGCATATATATAAAATATATAAATATATATATATATATATATATATATATATATATATCTATTTTTTATTTATATATTTTTACTTATATATTCAGTTGTGTATTTTTTTCCAAATTGTCTTAAAATATCAGAAAACCTTTCCTCGGACATATTTTTTTAATATTAAGTTATTTTTTTTTCATTAATTTTTTTATATTTATTATATAAAATTTCGTTTTTTGCAAATTGTTATTTATAATTTTCTTCGAATAGATTTTGTAATTTAGAATTTTTTAGTTCATTTTAAAATATTTTCATTGATTTATATATAAAAAGGCAATTATAGAAGCTTTTCTAGTTTTAAAATACATTTATGTCTTTATATTTGAGGAATGTTTTCCAAAATTAATTATCGAATATTTATAATCTTATTATATTTATAGAAATTCCTATTAAAAATTCCCTTTTTCCGTCTATTTTATCATTTCTGAGTACTTCTAATATATAAGGAATATGCATTTCGACTTCTTTTTTTTATAAAATATTTAGGTTTATTCCCGAAACTAATAAATTTAAATAAATTTCAAGAAAATTCTGTTCCTTTTCCATTTTTTTTAAGTTTTCGAAAGATAAGAGATTCTCGAATATTAAATGAGTTTTCTCAAAAATAAAATTTTGTTTCCCTAATGAATGAATAACGCACTTAAGTTGCCAATTATTCATTTTTTTTAACTATTCCCATATTTTATTCTCTAAATCTTCCCATATTTACACATATAAATGATTTGAAAACGTATAAACGTCTAATTAGCCCAGTTTATAGCAATATAGAGCTATTTTTTATTCATTTAAACTGTTTATTTAGGTCTTTATGTTATATATTTAATCTCTAATAAAGTCAAAATGGTTTTTTTTGATTAAATAGAATAATTTTTTGTTCAAGTATTTGATTTCTGTAATGAAAAAAAGGTTGTTTTCGCTGAAAAAAACTGAAGGTATTTTTATGTAAAATTTCTGGTAATTTTAAAGCAATTTTTAGTAGTTTTTAATTTACTAATTTTCATCATTTTTTATATCTAGAAGAGCGTATTTTTACAATCTGGTGATATAATTCATATTTTCTTCACAAAAAAACTAGTTTAGTTCAAAATTAGTCTCGAAGAAAGGCTCTAGATAGTCTTTTTGATTTTTTTCGAGTTCTTTTTGGATCTCTAGGCCTTTTTAGAGTAATTTTTAGATATTAATTTCCAATTATTTTACCTTTTATTCATTTTAGAATACTTATTTCTATAATAGGAGGTATAAAAGAATGATTTTTTAGTATTTTTGGAGGTTTTGAATTTAAAAAGACTTAAAAATAATATCTATATCGTGATTATTTTGACTATTTATGATAATATTTATGAGTAAATTTTCCATTTTTTTAATAAAAAATTCCGCGTTTTGTAAAATGAAGGTTTAGTTGAAAAAATAATCTATTTCTTGTTTTATATTTTATTTTATGAAAGGAAAATTTGTTATTTTTCCTGATTTTATTAAAATTAGAATGTTAAAAACGGAATCTTATTGGTCTTAATTTTACATTTAATTTAATAGATTTTTTAGAGTGTTTTCATGGATGTATTGGTCTTTTTTTTAGAAAGGATTTTCATATTATAAAATATGTGTTTTTTATGAAAATTAGTATTATTATTTTTTTTAATATAAAGTTTAAAATAAAGATGATTTTTTTATATTTTTAAATAAGTTTTTATACATTTTTTATTTTAATGCTTATATTGTTTTTATTAAAAAATAAAAAATAAATAAAAGAAGATATTTTTTTATAATTATAATATATCAAAACAAAAAAAAATGAACTATAATATAATAAATGATGAAAAATAAGTTTTTAGAATTCAATTTTCGTTACCAAGTTAAAAATTAGCTTTTATAGTAAAAGAAACTATCGAAGTTGATAAAGAATTGAATGAAAAAGTGGTTTAAAAAGAACTATTTTTTAATGAAAATATTGTAACTTTAATTTATAAATCTAATGATGCCAAAAAAGTAAGGTCTGCCATTAAAAATACTATTGAAAATATTTGTTTATGTTTATAAACTATATAAAAATTTTAATGAGAATTATTTAATAAATATATATATTAATTGATGTATATGTTATTTTTTTGTGCTTATTTTATTTTTAATAATAAAGTATAAAATAAAGTTTTAAATTAATATTAATAGTTTTTTTTTTTATATTTTTCAAATTTTTTTTTTTTTTTTAAAAAAAAAACTAAAATTAATTTTAAAAAAATAAAATAAAAATATATGCAAGTATCATAAATAACCTATGATATGTTACGTATAAAAAAATATAATGACAATCTATGGATGAAATACTAAGAATATACTATGCCTTTACTATTAATTATATATATATATAAATTTATATATCATATTGACTATTCTAAAGTAAAAAAATACAACGATATTCCATATTTACTGTAAGATAAACTTTTGATTCCTTTGTTGGCTTTCGCACCTATATATTATCTTATAGACACTTTATGTCTAATAATTTCAAATATAGCTTTTGAAGAATAATGCAATATGGACTTATTACTACATCATATACTAACTATTATAATGTCTCCTTATATAATATTTAGTAGGTATATATTTATTTATATAATTTTTTATATAAATAAAACAAAACAAAAAGATATGTTCCTTATTGGTAAATAGGTCCTCCTCTATTTCATACTCTATTAATTAGCTTTCCTGATTAAAAATGGTTGAATTATATTTATTTCAGTGTAGTAATATTTTTTACTTATAAGTTATTTAGTGAATAACCTTATAGTAAATTATAATATTATAATATTACTAAACTTTGTGTTTCTATACTAAAAGTGACTCTACTATTGTTTTATTTTCATGACTGTACTAATGAAATTAAAGATTTGGCTTCGAAGTATTAA